TGTCCCCTAAATGTCAATAACATGAACACAACAACTTGCTCTCCTAAGAATTTCTCTTTGCATTAATAATCTGTATTTCCATGGTGGTAAATCTTTGCCTTATTCTTGATGAACTACGAGAAGTATTTCTATTATACTGTTGAAGATTTCTATATGTTTAGGATCTCTCTTCATTTTGTATACACAATCTGTCTTCTATATTCACAAACTAAGCATAAATATATTATATACCATACTATCTTTATATATTAGGTATTTACAAATATTTTTAGCTAACCAGTTTTATAGACCCTTTATCAGTTTACAATACAGTAGTGTAACTGCATGCTCATATGTGGTTTTATTTCTACCACATTTCCAGTTGCAGACATCATGCACTCAAATATCTAATACATTTCATTTGATCATTTCTTCTTAGGTCTGTCATGTATTCTCTTGGACCAATTCATGCTCCTTGAACTTCACTTTTCCTCTAAATGTGTATAATGATTGTGATTGTCCAGTCACACAAATTTGTCAAGAAATCCAAAATGCATTTTGACTTGTGATGTAACCTAACTTCTGTAGACATAAGAGAAAACAGAGTCCTCTTTAAACAAAAAAAAGAAAGAAAAGAAAATCCTCATGGGGCTGGGAATGTGGTTTAGTGGTAAAGTGCTTGCCTAGCATGCATGAAGCCCTGGGTTCAATTCCCCAGTACCACATAAGCAGAAAAAATCTGGAAGTGGCACTGTGTCTCAAGTGGTAGAGTGCTAGCCTTGAGCACAGAGAGGCTCAGGGACAGAGCCCAGGCCCTGAGATGAAGGCCTAGGACTGGCAATAAATAAATAAATAACCCCAAATAACAACAACAATAAAATGCCCTGATGTGCTTTGTTTGATCATGCTTTCTCATTTAGAAGGTATTGAAGATGCATATTGAATAGAATTTAAAATACTTTTCTTGGAATTAATTTGTTGCAACCTTAAACTCAAATTCTCCAAATCATTTCAGATGTATGTGACAGGTGGATGACTGACATGTTATTTCTGCCATGAGATGAATGGAGAACATGTAACACATCACATTTCCCAAGTATTCCTTCAGCGGAAAGATGACAGCGAAAGTCGAGTTTCAGTATGTTTTTGCATAACTCATCAGCAGGGATAGCATGACAGAGGATAATGATAAGATCTTGACTGCCAAGAATTACAAAGGGAGAGTGACAGTACATCCAAGCTTTTTCAGTTCCTTTGATACTCAGCAAAATCCACACTATCTGGACTCTTGAAACACCTGTACACCTGCCCTTATCCAATGCTTCTAAAATTCCCGTTATACTCTCAGTCACTTTGGGAAGTCACAAATACCATGTACACACAAAGGGCACCACACTGACCCTCGGTGTTTACGTCTGTTCTGACTTCTTACATTTGTTGGCTATGTTGATTATTTGATCAATCCTTTTCATCTCATTGACATTGGAGAGGAATATAGCTGAAGAAATGGCAATCATGTTTCCCTTACCATCGTAGTCAGACTTTGTGCAACATCTTTCTTCCCATTGATTCTGGCAATTCTTTGTAGTTCTCTTAAGGCATGTTCTGTTTTCCCAGTTGTCATGAGCCAGGGGACTGATTCTGAGACACAACTACATATAGACAGAAGGAAGTGTTAAGAGGACCAGAGATGCCCTTACTGGAAAGAAACAACTCTCCAATGTACATGATCCCTCCGACTGAAAAATAGCACGTCTTGATCAATTCTCACTCATAATCCTTTAAAACAGGAATATTGAAAAATTTGATTCCTAATTAAATATTTTCTGATTCAAATACTAAATATATTTCCCTTTTCATGTGCTGTTCTGGGGCTTCTTTTTGTACAAGACACGATTGCAAGTTCCATACATGAGTCTAATTTGTAATAAATTTTGCAACATTATAAACATTTATAATATAAATTTTAGTGTTACTCAATATTGTATCACTGAGAAGATTAACCAAAATTTGGTGAGCATCAGAAAAAGTGCTTTGGAAATGAAAAGATTATTTTGTCTCTTAGAAGAATCATCATCAAAAACTCTATCAATGGCTCTCATTTAGGAATATTTGTTTAGTGGGATAATGTGAGAAGAATCTCAAGAACTAAAGTGAAAACAAAAATATTTAAATGCAAATGTGATGGAACCATTTATCTAAGTTTATGAATTTATGAGATAACTCATTCTAGTAGAACTGACTTTTTCATGTAGATTTTTATTCCATTATTGAGTCTTACACTCAAAAATGTTTGTAGAGATAACCAAACCTTCATGAAATCACAATCACTTAGGTTAAGCACCTAAGGTAGACACATACCAGACAAACAAAGACACAATGAAGTAGGGCAAGGTGTTGGCCAGTTGGAGCTTGTGCCAGTCTCGGATAAAATAAGCCAGTCCGGCAAGTAATGCTTGGTTAGCACTCAAAGATAATCCTTTCATTGTTATAATTATAGGAAACCATTTTTGTGAAGTATTTTCTAAAACTAAAAAAATTAAGATATTCAGTACCACAAAAGAAAGATGCTGCCAAGTGAAATAAAACTTATGTGTGACACTGTATTTGATTCTGGTGTCCTGCATCTTATATATACATTTTTCTAATTTGGGGAGGGGAAGGGAAATAACAAAATGCTGAAATAAGGATACAGGATGACCCATTGTAACAACAAGATGTACAAGACAAAACGAACTTTATAATATTGCAGGGAGGGGAGATTTAAGGGGAGGGAGGAGTTGGGGAGGTGGGGAGGAAAGGGATGGTAGGAGAAAAACAAAGGAAGGGGTAACAATGCTGGATAGGAAATGGTCTCATTATCTTGCTCATGTAGCTGTAACCTCCTCTGTATAGTATCGTTACAATAATATAGATAGATAGATAGATATTAAAAAAAATGTTTTTTATGAAGGCAAACTCACGAAGGGCCAAGCTACTGTTTTGCAAGGCACTCAAGCAGGCAGACATCAGGAATCTCAAAAGGCAGTAAAAAGAGAAGGAGGGTGCAAATGCACAGGCAAAGCCCAAAATTCCAAAACTTAAGCCAGCAGCAACCAACAATGGTTTCCGTCCAAACCTGTGGAAATAGTTGTTCATTTAATAAAATACCATATAACAAGTATCTTTCCATATCATTAGGGCATTCCAGGAGAACTTCCATAACATTTTGAAAACTAGAAGTTTTCCAAATGCACATTGTCACCTCCAATTAGATGACAATAGAAATGAAAACAAAACATATATTGTATTCAATATTGTAATTGAAATAATAATTCTATGATTTCAATAAAGTAGAATCTATAGCATGTATTTTCAAAAATAATTATTCTGAAAATCATAAATAGGTTGGTGGTATCATGCCACATTCCTTTTTGCCCAATGGTATAAAATGAGCATTAAATTTAAGAAAATATATTATGACCTAAAGCCAAAGAACATGAGGCACTTTGTGAAGCTATTTAGATTTTACCTTTCAAATCCACTAGATATATTTTTAAATAAGGCAAAAAAAGTTAAGGTGCTCTGTGTTTCTAATTCTCAGAAAAAAAGAATTCATTAGATATGATTTTTTGTCTTTTAACTTTTTGTTCTAATTATTGATGAAGACAATGGTGATATATTTTGTCAATTGACTCCTGTCATCTTCATAGCAATTCTTTGTAAGTGCTATCACATGTAAGTGGAAAATAAGTTATAAATATTTGAAATTTATTATTTTTTATCTTACTGATAAAGAGTGATAAAATGCCAGATTTTGAATGAAAACAGAAAGATTCTCATGGTGGATACTAACTCCCAGATTTTTGCATTTGTTTAACAATATTATGATCTGCAGTTGATTTGTTTATGGATAAGATGCAGCAAGTTTGTCATAAATGCGCATGTTAGTTCAGTTTAGATACATTAGATTTCAGATTCGTTTCTGTGTTTGTGATCCTATTGCCATCAAAGCCAGTGTCATTCAAGAGTCAGTACTACTTTGTTTTCACCTCTCTTCTTCACTATATTAATTGCATTTGTCTTCCTCCTAAGAGTATTGTAATCAACTCAATCTGCTTATTTTAAATATACCTTGTTATTAACTTTGAATATCCCTTCCCTAGATTTTTGTCTTCAGTTTTTTTAGACAAATTCTCAATAATTGTTTCATCAATGATTGTAGTTCTACATTTTTTCCTGTTTTCATCAAGTATCTTTAAGTCTGACTACAAATTAACCTTCTTAAATCATTATATTAAACATACTTTATACATTATAAATAGCTACCTAGATTCTTTCAAGTTGCTACAATTTCCTGGTTATACCCACTTCTCAATTTAAGAATAACATAAAAATACTGTTTTCACACTTTTTAGAGAGCGACAGTTAATAAATATCTTTTTGGATCTTGACAATCTGTTATATTAATTACTCTGTTTCAATTTTTCACATTTCCACTTTTTGTATACCTTCCTCATCCTTTGAAATTTTCAAGCCTTTATAAGTTAGCTTAAGGCTCCCACCTTATTTGAATCCTAAGCTCTGTCATCTAAAGCACAAACCTCAGTTCTTGCCTTTCAAAATTTCTCATTTTGTTGAATCATATCGACATCATTTGGCTTTGGTATTCTGTATACTCATCTTCTGTTGAGCTGCAAAATTTCTAGGAAAATGTGTACAGTCTTTAAATTGTATTTAGTTGGCAGATGGTTCTTGTTCAGAAGATGAAACTTACTTGTCACCAAAGATGCCAGATATAGGATTGCCCACCAAATGCCCTGCTAGGGAGATGGTCTGTGCAAAGTATTTGAATGATTGAAAATCGCATACCAAGTCCCACTGGAAAATAAGGAAGAAGGACATCATTCAAAATGTGATTTGAACAAAGGTCATGAATAGAATTCATGAATAAATGGTTAGTGTGAAGAAAAAGAATATCAAAACATGTTTGTTAATGTAGACAAGTGCTATTCTATGTACTGGACTAGAATATATGGACAAGTAATTTGTAAAAAAATCTTTGTAATACTCATAATAGAGACTGAAACTTCCATTGCAAAAGAAGACTGTAATAACTAATTACATTTATAACGTAATAATTTGTAACGAAAGGGCAGTTCATGATCCTTCAGTTCATAGCACAAATTGCTCTTTCATCATAATACAGAGAGAAACAAATACTCACCTATGGGACTGAAGTCTGCATTTCATAAACAGAAAGAAACATACTTTGAAAAGAGTCATTTCTTAATTTCCATTATGAAGACAAAAATGCATTCTTTTAAATGAAAATATAAGAGGTCAAATGAAGTCAATGACCAGAAGTATAATGCATAATCTGAAGAACACCATAAAGAGAGAATGATTTTAAGTGTGGAATCATATCACGTACAATGTAAACACACTGGCAAATTAATAAGTTGGGGTGAAATAAAGCAGAAGAAAAATAGAGGAAAGCATGAAAGAAACAGACATGACCTATTTCCAGCAAACCTTGGTTCCCTGTTGGAGTTGGCATTCAAGAGAAGATGCAATAGAACTTAAAAAAGATCTCAAGGGAAGTACATCCCATGAACACAGCAGCTTCTTGAAGTGTTTCTCTTACACATGGCACTGAGGGCTGGAGGCAAAGAGAATTTAATCATGGCAGGTAGATACTGATATAGATAAATGGGATATCAATCCTGTGGATGTCTGCATATCCCCAAGTGGGTGGAATAATATCTGAATGTTTCCTATAATGTAAATAAATACAAATGTTATAAGAATTAAAGTTCTGATGGTAAACAAAATAGAATAAAATATGACAAAAAGAAAACATGGCTTCAAAGCCAGAATCTTAAAGCAACAGAGTGTTAGATTCTTAGGGATAGAAACTAAGGAGACTTAGAAATAAACATAGTGTCTTGGTCCAAGTGTATCAAGAGCCAGAAATATGAAGTATTGAAATAAACTATTAAAATAATAATACTGTCTTCTACCCACTTTATTACTCTTGCATGGGATCCTTGAATCAAGGCAATATTAGTGAAGTAATAGAGGAAAAACATTAATTCGTTACAAGCATGCCTATGAAGAGGAAAATAATGTGAAAAACAATTGCAAAGAGGAGACAATGTTGTTTTAGGATACTAAATGCTCTCTGTTTTAAAAAATAAACAAAACTAAGCTCATCCAGTCATATACATGTGGCTTTCAGATTGTACCACTTAATTATACTGTGCACAGTCTGTTATTACACAAGTGAAGTGCTAGAAAAGTCTGTGCAGTGCAAAGAGACCAAGAAGCAAAGGCAGGTAGGAAGAAAAACATTAAACAGAGACATGAATAAAACTAGTATGAAGCTAGATAAAGAGGACATTGTTAAAAAGGAGAAACATATAACAAACATGCACATGTAGACTGTACAGCCATAACTATGGTGGTAGAAGTTGTATAGAATTTGGTGACAAATGTTTTTGATACTCAGAGAAACAAGGAATAGGAATGGTGTATGATTAGATTATAGAAAGGAAGTATATGACAAAGATTTTTATAAAGTGATTTCTTGCTTTTGTTTTCCTAAAAGCTGTAGAAATCCCCTGATGTATATTGAGCAATGATTATCATTGTATGTGGGTTGATGAGAAGTTCTTGTGGCAGTACTGAAGAAATGAAGGGAGTTCTAGATAAAGCCATAGTAGAAATGCTATTGTACACTTGGTGGCATTTATAAGACAGAAAAACCATTTGTTCCAGAAAATCTGAAGATGAAAATTGTGTATAATCCTGTGCCTCAGTTACTTTCTTTTGTTAGAAAGAAAAAAATTGGTCAAAGTGACTGCCACATTTAAACTTAGAAAGAGTTACTGAGATGTGAAAGATGAGGGTAAGGGCAAAATTGAACAAGTTGTCACTTGAATTAATGTAAAGTATTCTATTAAATCAAAGGATCTCATTATTCTCTCCTCACAACACTGCAGAAAACCTCTTATCTAACAAAGGTGTACTTAGATCTTGTTAAATTAATAACCAATGTCCCAAGATTGAACTATGATCTAGCTTTTTTTAAATTTAAGCTTGCGTGATGAAGCAATGCTCCCAAGCAAAGATCAGAGGTAGAGAAGTGGAATTGCATGCATGGCTAGTACAGTGGATAATCTCCATCAACACTTCAGCATCTCTTGATTCTCTATAAAATGAATGAGCTTGAAGAGTTATTGCAACAAGTTCCTTGCATATTTCCTCCTGAAAGATTAAATATGGATTATTTATTTTTATTTTTAGTTGTTGGTCATGAGACTTGAACTCAGGGACTGGGCACTGTCCCTGAGCTCTTTTAAGCTTAAGAGGATAGTGCTCTATCCTCTGATCCACAGCTCCACTTTTGGTTTTCTGGTGGTTAATTGGAGATAAGAGTCTCGTGGACTTTCCTGCCTGGGATGGCTTTGAACTACGATTCTCAGACCTCAACCTTTTGAGTAGTTAGTTTGAGCCACCAGTGCCTGGAAAAGATAGATTCATATACATTGAAGTCTGTGGCAAATGTTACCAAACTAAATTTTGACAATAATATAAGTATATACAAATGCAAAATTAGTTGAGTATGTGTTGATAGGTAAATACCAGATCTTCAGTTGCTATATAAACAATAAACACAAAACTTTTTTAGCAGATATATTTTAAAAGAATTTCTACAAATGAATGCAAAACTTTTATGGAGTACACATTAATGTGAAGTTGAAAATGATTGTTACTTTACAACTTAAAACATAATGGGAAGAAACAGACTAGAAGACCCAGAAATAAAGCCATATACTTACAGTTCTACGATATTTGACAAGGGAGCCAAAAATATACTGTGGGAAAATAATAGCCTCTTAAATAATTGATACTGGGAAAACTGGGCCCATATGTAGAAAACTAAAAGTGGATCTCTTTTTGTGACCATGCACCAATATCATCTGAAGGTATATCAAAGCTCTCAGTGTGAGAGCTGAAACTTTGAAACTACTGCAAGATGGAGTAGGAGAAACATAAAAACTAATAGGCATAAGCAGGAAGTTTTTGAAAATGAGTCTCAGGGGCATGGCAGGAGAGAAACTTGACAAATGAAATTGCATCAAAATAAAAAGTTTCTGCACAGCGAAGGACATAGTTAGTAAGCTAGAAAGACTCCCAACAGACTGGGAGATCTTTACCAGCCATACATCCATCAGAGGACTAATATCCAAAATATCCAAGGAGTTCAACTTTAATAAACCAAACTAATAAACCAATCAATAAATGGACAAAGGAGCTAAAGAGAGACTTCACAGAAGAAGCAAGAATAGCAAATAAACACATGAAGAAATGCAGATAAAAATAATTCTTCACCCCAGGTAGATTGGCAAACATCAATAATTCAAACAACAAATGCTGGCAGGGATGTGGGGACAAAGGAACCCTCGTGCACTGTGAGTGGGAATGTAAACTAGTACAACAACTCTGGATGGCAGTCTGGAGGTTCCTCAAAAAAGAACTTCCCTATTACCCAGCCATTCAATTCTTGGGCATCTTCCCAGAACATTGCAAGTCAGGATACGGTAAAGACACCTGCACATTGTTCATGGCTGCACCATTCACAATAGCCAAGCTATGGAAACAGTCCAGATGCCCTATAATAAGATGGATGTGCATAATGTAGTACATTATGCACAATGCAATTTACTCATGTCATTTGCAGGGAAATGGATGGACTTAGAACAAATCATGTTAAGTGAGTTAAGCCAAGCTCAGAGAGACAAATGGTACATGTTTTCTCTCATTTGTGGAAGGTGGATCTAAACTACAACTGGACATGATAACTTATATAGGACTCTAGAAATTCACACAAAAACAGTGAAAATAAAGGAGGATACTCTTAGGTGAGGAACTCAAGGGTGTAACTCTTCTGAACATTTATAACATTATCTATCAAAACCAATTCTAGGAAATGGAAACATATTTTTTAAATTGTTGTTTGGCAAGGCCATATAAGGCTACCAGCACAACTATGTTTATCATAGCATTATTTACCATAGCTAAGATATGGAACCAACCCAGATGCCCCTCA